ACCTCAAACTCTGGGGCTCAAGTGATCCTCCTGCCTCAGCCTCCCAAGTAGCTGGGACTACAGGCAACTGCCATGATGCCTGGCTAAGTTTTCTATTTTTAGTAGAGATGGGGGTCTCACTTTTGCTTAGGCTGGTCTTGAACTCCTGAGCTCAGACAATCTACCTGTCTTGGCCTCCCAGAGTGCTAGGATTATAGGCATGAGCCACTGGGCCCAGCCTAGTGTTTCTGTTGTTGATGAAGTTCTCAATTCTTAGTCAGGCTCTTACTTTTCAGCCAGAGTGCTTCCTAAATTACCACCATTAAATACTTGGAGCACTGTTCTGACGCATCCATTCCCATAAGGTACTTCATCCTTTAACACAGGGGTCCTCAAACTTTTTAAACAGGGGACCAGTTCTCTGTCCCTCAGACCATTGGAGGGCCAGACTACGGGCCCCAGGACAAGTCGGCTGCTAAGCAGGACAAGCAGAGGCGGCAAAAACACCTGGCGAGCCAGATAAATGTCCTCAGCGGGCCGTATGTGGCCCGCAGGCTGTAGTTTGAGGATGCCTGCTTTAACAGGTCTAATGTTCTTTATTGTCCTCTGTATACCTACTAAGTATGATTATCTTTCAAATCTTATGCATCCTAAATATTTTTGAAAGAAATAAATCTAATAAGAAAACTCACTGTATTTAGGAAATCAGTTATCACTGACCAAAATATAGTTCAGGAGTTAATATTTTTAATGGGATCATGTAATTTATAAAAAAGTAAGAGAAGGAGTGCAAATGAAAAACTAGTTATCTTACACATACAAACAATGCATGCCCGAGGTCAATAATGAAAATGCTAACTTGCAGAAGATCAGAAAAAGAAATTTAATTATTGGACATTTCCAAGGAATTCAAAAGAAGTGTCAACAAAGAGTCCACGATGAAAGACTCCTTGCTGATCACTAGGCAAGAATGTGAAAAAGGACTAAAACTTTTATGGCATGGCCTATCAAATCTAAATTCAAAATACTCCCTGGCAGAGAATATACTGAATAATTCCTGATTATGGGAAATAAAGGGATCAGAAAAAACAAAAGACCTATCCTTAAGAGAGAGATAATGTATAGGAGAACCTGTAGTATAAATTTTAGGACCAGTTCCTGTCTCTAAGCTCTTCTTAGTAAAAAGGCATACATATTCTTAAACCTTAATGAAGAAGCGGCTGGTAACCTCTGACTATAGGAGGTAGATGTGCAGAGTGAGGCACATCAATGTGGAGCCAGTAGATATATGGGAGGTTATAGGTAACAATAAAACTTAAAGGACATATAGGCATGTTTCACAAATAGAGAGTTGTGTTTAGCAAGATAGGAAATATGATGAAAACCTAGTGTCCAAATAACTTCCTCATCAACCAACCCTGGCAAGCACTGAGCTGAAATTTTCTAAGCAGCATCTATTCTGTATTAGATAAGCATATCTTATTTTTCCAACTAGATCAGTTTTACTACAGCTCAACACAGTATAATCAGAACATGCCTTCTCTTTTATAATCCTAAAATGTAGTGTGTTACTTACTTCCCCTAATCTGATGTTGTTCCCTTTTTTGTGCTTGAAGAGTCCCTACCAATTCAAGAACATACGTGCCTGAATTAAGCGACTGCTGAAGCCAGTGTATCTCCTTCTTCTAACTTCGTCTGGATCTAAGCCTTCAGAGGCTCTGGGGCAAGTACTCACTTCTGGGAAGCAGAGGACTAGAGCAAGGACTCTGAAGTAAGAGACTATGGTACTTAATATATAGTCTTGAAAAAGTTATATAACTTGGGTCTCTATCTCATCTGGAAGATGGAATATTTACAGGGTGGTAATGAGTAGTTATCTATCATTTAATTATAACATCGATATTAAGAACTTGAATGAGAGACTCGGTAACTAACACTGGTTTCAGTAAACTGAATTGATTCAATGTTTAATTCATTATTCAACACTATTTTCATAAAGGAGTTAAGGATGAAGGTGTTTTACTGAAATACCGTACTGGAGATATTTAAAGCACTGGAAGCAAAGTAACTTTACTTTCATTCTGAGGCGATCTGAATCCTCTGAGTGCTTACTTCTGAAGTTTTGATATTTTGAAATTCCTTACCTGACAAAAACCTAAACTCTAACTAAAAAGCCAAAAACTTTTTCACTGAAATGTTTTGGTATGTTTATAAGGAAGGGGGCTATAAACTACTTTTGAAGAATTACTATAACTGGGTATATTATTTCATAATGGGACTATGCTACCAAAGAAGACCACTGAACTGCAGAAACCTAACTAAAATAAACATGATACAAATGCGGAAGAAAAAAGGCTGGGGGAAGAAAGCAGGGTGATGGGGAGGAAGGGCCCAGTCACTATACCTTTGCAATAGCATTCAAAGTGCAGAGCCCAGGCTCAAGAAAGAGACTTAACACCAGACATCAACACAGCCATAGAGTCTATGAATAGACCATTTGATATTGACTTTCTTTTTCTTTCTTTCTTTTTTTTTTTTTTGAGACAGAGTCTCACTTTATCACCCTTGGTAGTGTGCAGTGGTGTCACAGCTCACAGCAACCTCCAACTCCTGGGTTTAGGTGATCCTCCAGCCTCAGCCTCTCAAGTAGCTGAGACTACAGGCACCTACCACAACGCCTGGCTATTTTTTTGTTGCAGTTTGGCTGGGGCCGGGTTTGAACCCGCCACCCTCGGTATACGGGACCAGCACCCTATCCACTGAGCAACAAGCACCACCCTTGATACTGACTTTCAAGTAGTCCTCACTAATACATTAGAGAAGTATAAGTGGTCACCATCATAGTATTTTTAATTAAGACAGTAGAAGTAATTCCCTAGGCTGGACATTAGCATGGAAGGTAACAATTCTCTTAGAGGAAAAGGACATTTTACCCTGAATAAGAGGGCAATGAGACAGCCTCAGCATTATGATCTTACACTCCTAGATACAAACACCCCCATAACTAGGGGCCACCAAAGGCACCTAGCAATCTATTAGGCTCCTAATTAGAACAAAGTATACTCTGGTTCTATCAGATCACTTAAGAAAAAAAAAATAATAACTATCTTTAGGTGTAGATGAGGAGAGAAATGCTCCAAAGTTGCATTTAATTTTCATCACTAGGGTAATAAACCTTTAAATAAACAAAAATACTGGAAGAAAGCAGAAATACAAAATTATTAGGCTACAGCTGACATACACAATATCTTTTAAATACTATCTCTTTCAGGGGAAATAACTACAAATACCCTATCACAAGGCAGCATAAAACCATAAGAATTAAGAAGAGGGCTCGGCGCCTATAGCTCAACTGGCTAAGGCGCCAGCCACATACACCTAAGGTGGCGGGTTCGAATCCTCAGCCTGGACCCGCCAAACAACAATGACGGCTGCAACCAAAAAATAGCCGGGCGTTGTGGCGTGCGCCTGTGGTCCCAGCTACTTGGGAGGCGGAGGCAGGAGACTCGCTTGAGCCCAGGAGTTGGAGGTTGCTGTGAGCTG